TCTTCCTATTCTCATGTGGTCTTCATTTACCATGGTCTCCTATTCCTTGTTCTCTCTCTCTGTTGTTGATCCAGCTGGGATCTCCCGCTCCCCCAAGCTCTCTTTCCCTCGACCCTCGCCTTTCATTACCCCCACTCATGTCCAGGCTGTTCATGTAGTTCTCATTCCATTTCTCTGTCATTGGGCGATCCCTGTGTCTTTCTTGGGGTCCTGTTTTCCAGGTAGCCTCCCTGGTGATGTGAGTAGCAGACAAGTCATCCTTGTTTCATGTCTAGTATCCTGCTATGAGTGAGTACATACCATGTTTGTCTTTCTGAGTCTGGGTTACCTCACTCAGGATGATTTTTTCTAGATCCATCCATTTGTCTGCAAACCTCATGATGTCATTGTTTTTCTCTGCTGAGTAGTATTCCATTGTGTATATGTACCACATTTTGTTTATCCATTCTTCAGTTGAAGGGCATCTAGGTTGTTTCCATGTTCTGGCTATTACAAACAATGCTGATATGAACATAGCTGAACAAGTGCTCTTATGGTGTGGTTGAGCATTCCTTGGGTATATGCCCAAGAGTGGTATAGCTGGATCTTGGGGGAGATGGATTCCCAATTTTCTAAGAAAGTGCCATATTGATTTCCAAAGTGGTTGTACAAGCTTGCATTCCCACCAGCAGTGGAGGAGAGTTCCCCTAGCTCCATATCCTCTCCAGCATAAGGTGTCTTCAGTGTTTTTGATCTTAGCCATTCTGACAGGCGTAAGGTGGTATCTCAGAGTTGTTTTGATTTGTATTTCCCTGATGATTAGGGATGTTGAGCAATTCCTTAAATGTCTTTCGGCCATTTGAGTTTCCTCTGTTGAGAATTCTCTGTTTAGTTCTATAGCCCATTTCTTAATTGGACTGTTGGGCATTTTGATGTCTAATTTCTTGAGTTCCTTATATATTCTGGATATCAGTCCTCTGTCAGATGTGGGGTTGGTGAAGATCTTTTCCCATTCTGTAGGCTGTCGCTTTGCCTTGTTGACCGTATCCTTTGCTCTACAAAAGCTTCTCAGTTTCAAGAGGTCCCATTGATTGATTGTTTCTCTCAGAGTCTGTGCTACTGGTGTTCTATTTAGGAAGTGGTCTCCTATGCCAATGCGTTCAAGACTACTTCCTACTTTCTCTTCTAGCAGGTTCAGAGTAGCTGGATTTATGTTGAGGTCCTTGATCCACTTGGACTTAAGTTTTGTGCACGGTGATAGATATGGATCTATTTGCAGCCTTCTACATGTTGATATCCAGTTTTGCCAGCACCATTTGTTGAAGATGCTCTCTTTTTTCCATTGTAGCACAGTTCTTTAATGGAGATGTTTATGCTCGCAGTTACTTTCTTTGAATGATTTTACTTGAAGTACAGTAACTATGCATATTCATGAGGTACAGATTCCAGACATTTGCTTTAACTACAACTACATTAAAACTTTCCTGAATCTTAGTTGTAATTACCAGAAGTTCATATACAAAAGAAAATTGATTCATTTTTAAAACTCCCAATGTATCGTTAATCGTGTATCTTTTACATACCATCTATGCGTTACTTTGAAGGGTTTTTTTTTTTAATTTATTTGGAAACCAAAAGGTACCATATAAATGTCATACAGAGATGAAAGTCATGGCTTTCCTTACAGAGTAAAAGAGCATAATTTTTTATGTCAAGATGAAGCCGAGCTAAAAAGACAGGCAGGGAGCAGTTTGATTTGAGTTTTTGTTTATCTCAGGAGTTCTCCTGACAATCTACTGAACTGATGCTTTATGCAGTGAGCCTTTGCAGGCAGTGTCAAGACAGCTTGCAGACAACTCATTTCTTATTTAAGAAATATGTGCGTAATGGCTGGAGTGTCTGAAGTTTTCTTTGAATCAAATTTGTAATGTGCTCCCTTTGGTTTCATTTCATTTGGAGCGTGGCAGTAGAGCAGTTGGGGATGAAGACTCCTCTTGCTTATGTACTTTTCTCCAAACACAGGAGAGACAGAGCATGAATTAATGATGACTCCATATGAAACAAAAACTTGGTGACTGAAATCTTACAAGCTTTACTATATTTTATTATACCATTATATATTGGTTTCTTATTTTCCCAGGGTTTTTCCCTTTATAGAGCTATTGGAATGATTTTATGTTGGTATGGTTTAATATTTTATAAGTGATTAAATGCCCCTATGCCAATGTTTTTCCAAAGGTAAGCACAATGTGTCATCATTCACAGAGTGGGTGTGCTGGAAATTCTAAAGTCAGTTCATTCTTTTATTTTTCTCATTATAAACTTCCTGTTTTCATTAAGTGAACACTAATCGTTTGAAAACCCACATTTACACCATAGGTAATACATGCTGATTCAATGAACATTGATGTCCACACTTCAGTAAAGCCCGACATGAATTGTACAAGGGAAGTAATGTTCTGAAGACGTTAGTATGTCCATCTGTTTGTCATTAAGCTTCTCAAATCTTTCTTTGAAGTCAGTGAATTTTGTCCTATAAATGTTTTTGCAGAAATAAAACAATGGGTAAGAATGCATCCCAGGGGTATTTGCTATTACTGATCTCAGCCTTTTGTGGTCACTCAGTTATGTGGTAGGATCTTACTTTCAAATGACATTGTCTCACTGTAATGATGTGGCCTTACCACTGCAGGTTCTTCAGTTTTGAATGCCTGGTGTGAATGCTTTGATTTCTTTCCATAGCAAGGAAGTTTTTTTTCCAAGTGCTACAGCATTGTAAACAGAAAATGCAAAGACTTTAGAAATTTTGTGATAAAGCTCCAACATTATTTGACAGTGTGGCTACAATAGCTGGATCTAGTATTTGCTGTCACTAATGTAAAAGTTATTACTATTCCATTTACCTAAAGATCAAGAAGGCAACCTTGAAGAGAGCACAAGTATGAAAAATGTTTGCCATCTTCCTTAGTTTTCATACGTAATAATAACAATCAGTCACATTATCCCAGTTCCCAGTCCTGGCTATCTATCAGGAATTTTCACCTTTAGCAACCATAAAGGGAAAAAAAATCTCCCCATAATTTATAATTAGAATTAACATCCACCCATTTTGAAAGGTAAAGGTTGGATAAAAGTAAAGCAGCTAATAATGGCATCATGTATATAGGGATTACCTGACCTAAGTGAAGAGAATGAAAGCCTGAAAAGATCAATTGGACAATATAAGACTTTCCATAACTCTTCTGATACTGTTGGGTGAGAAAAAAGAAAAAGGAAATGTATAAACCTAACTTAATCCAGATGCTAGAGAAACACAAAGCATTGTAGAGCCTGGGTGAGTTGTATGTGTGTGTGTGTGTGTGTGTGTGTGTGTGTGTGTGTGTGTGTGTGTATGTGTGTGTGTGTGTGTGTGTGTAAAACACTTAAAGAACATGATGTCATGAATTTGAAAGAGAACAAGGAGTATATGGGAGAATTTGGAGGAAGGAAAGAAAGGGAGAAATGATGTAATTTTAGTATAATCACAACATTTAAAAAAATAGCAATGGGTAGAAAATATCCAAATTGCTTGTCTTCCTGAAGTTGCTACCATTGTGAGTTGATAATTCTTCATGATACAGTGGGTATGGATGCAAGGGATTAAGAAAGGGAAGAGTTGGGGAGTCTACACATTGAATGAGGAGAAAAAGTGTAAGAAGGGCCTCAGATGTATCATAGCAGGCATCTCTCGTAAACTCTAGTTCACATTTCCTTCAGAGTATAGTACGGGCAGTTCTCCCTTAGCTTCTTTATCATCACGAAAATCTGCTTTTGACCAATATTAATTGGATGTACTCAAAGATGGGCATCCTGAGAAACAGTTTCTCACATGTGTGCTTGTGAACAATGCCATTCATCACAAGGTGGAGCTTCCTGTGAATCCAATTCTTGGCTCTTTGTGGGAATGGGAAGAAGCCTGGAACAGTTCCAAAGATTGGTCCATCAAGTATGTCTCACATAGTTTTGGGATCACAGAAACCTCCTAGGTAACTATTCTGTTACCATCACTGAGGAATAAGGAGGACTTAAAATGTGGTGGTGAGGCAAAGTTCAAAATGATATGAAAACCTGGGAGTCCAGTCTAATTATGTTTAAATAAATGTTGTGTCTGTTTCATACCTGAGCTGACATACTAATATTCATCACTTCAGTTAAGGTTCAGTTAAGGGGTTCATTTTTAAGTTAAAAAAATTCAAGTACAGAAATTTAAAAATTCAAACTCAGGAGTCCCATCCCCAGCTCTGTAGCAGAAAACCTGCTGCTGCAGTTTCCCTTTCTTCTTGGACCCCATCCCCAACAGATCACAAAGATCTCTCCCCGCAACCTTCCTTCCCTCAACCCATCCTGTTACTCCAGCCTCCAACACCAGTAGGCATTCACTAGGAACACAGCAGCTGAGCAGGCTAGGGAAGCAGGGAAGCCAACTAAAGACCTTCATTGCTCAGTCCTCCCCTCCAAATCCAGTCTCCCAGTCTGGTTCCTAGTGCTGCAACAGAGCATCAGCTGCAGCCCTTCTTACCCACTGCCCCAGCTATGGATCCCAGAGACCCGTCCCCTCCTAACCTTCCTCTCCCATTTGTGGTTTTTTCCCAGCCCCCAACTCCAGAAGATGCCCACTGCTAAACCACAGGCCGTGCCTACCAGAAAACCAGGTAGGCTGCCTGCAGATCTTCTCTTCTGCCTTTGTTCCCCCAGATCCAGTCCCCCAATATCATCCCCGGCTCTTCAGCAGAACAACTGTGAAGGCCTTCCCTGCCCTCTGTTCCCATTTTATGTGTATCCCACAGATCTTCACCTTTTTTTTTTTTTTTTTCTAAATGTAACTAGGTTGAAAATATTTAATTTGAATTTTTGAAAAATGAGTATCTTGATTTAGTCAGGTTTTGGGGATCTCTGGAGATTAGCCACTATTGTACTCAGAATGATCAGGGTAAATCAACGGGGTTTTTTGTTTGTTTGTTTGTTTTTTTACTTTTCAGGGGTTTTAATGGTCAAAACAGAGAGGTCTGGTTCATTTCAGCTCCTTCACTGCCAAACCAGGGGGCAGGGACTGTTTCAGCTTCTCAGCCTTCTTGTCTGTGATGACCAGGGTGTAAAGATACCTGCTGCAGCGAACCTTGAACTTCACATTATCCTTGTTTTTCTTGATTTTGACAGACTTGGCATCCTTCCACCGGGCTGTGAGCAGAAAGTCCTTGATTTCCTCAATTTTCCGAGGCATGGCGAGGGACGCTCGGCGCTGGAGACCGCACAGCGGCGAGAACAGAAAAAGCAGATCTTCACCTTCTAACCTCACTCCCCGAACCTGGTGCTTTAACTGAAACCTCTAACCCCAGCAGGTAGCCCCTGTTAGCCCCAGGGCTGCTCTTGCCAGGGCAATAAGAAAGCTGAAGCAGATCCATGTTCTTTTCTGTTCCTCCACATTCCATCCCCCTAGTCTCATCCCCAGTTCAGTAGCAGAAAACCTGCTGTGGCTCCCTTTCTTTTCCAACCCTATCCCCAATGGATCACAAAGATCTTCTGCTCCAACCCTACTTCCCCTAACTCAAACACAGTGTCTCAGCATCCAACACCAGTAGGCATCACAGTCTCCAAATATCCAGAGTGGAAACAGAAACCAAGGAACTAAACACCCACCCAACAAAGACAAATCCAGAAATCGGCACCTAGAACTATAAACATCCTGAATCCAAATGCCTAGACACCAGGCTAAGAGCACAATCAATAACAGCCAGAACAATATGTCTTCACCAGGGCCCTGTAGCCCTAACACAAAAGGCCCTGAATATTCCAATGTACCTGAACCACAAGAAAAAGACCTTAAAACCATCTGTATGAGGATAATAGCGATCTTTGGGAAAATAAATTAATAAATCCGTTAAAGAAATCTAGGAAAACACAAATAGTGAGAGGAAATGAATAAAATTGTTCACAACATGAAGATGGAAATAGAATCAATAAAGAAAAGCAAAACTTAGGGAGTTCTGGAAATGAAAAATTTAGGAATTAAAAAGGAATTACATAGGCAAGCTTCACCAGCAGAATATAAGAGATGGAGAAGAGAACCTTAGGCATTACAGATACAATAGAAGAATGGATACATCAGCCAAAGAAAATGCTGAATATAAAAAGCTCCTGAACAAAAACACCCAGAAAACCTGGAACACTATGAAATGACCAAACTGAAGAATAATAGGAATAGAAGAAGGAGAAGGTTCCCAGCTCAAAGGCCCAGAAAATAATTTCACAAAATCATAGAAGAAAACTTTCCTAGCCTAAAGAAAAAAAATATGCCTATCTAGGAAGAAGAAGCATACAGAACATCAAATAGATTGGACCAGAAAAGAAAGATCCTTAGCACATAATAATCAAAACACTAAATGTATAGAGAAAAGAAAGAATATTAAAAGCTGAAAGGAAAAAAGACCAAGTAACATAGGCAGACCTATTAAAATTACACCTGACATCTCAATGGAGACTCTAAAAGCCAGAAGGTCCTGGAAAGATGTGGTACAGACTCTAAGAGACCACATATGCCAAGTCAGACCACTATACACAGCAAAAATTTCCATCACCATAAATGGAGAAAATAAGATTATCCAAGATAAAGCCAAATTTAAGATTTCTATTAGCAAATGTAGCCCTGTAAAAGGGGCTGAAAGAATAATTCCTACCTAAGGAAGTCAAATACATCCATGAAAACAAAGGGAATAAATTATCTCAGACCAACAAAATCAAAAGAAGGGAAAGACACACACACCATTACCAACAACAACAATAACAAAAGAATAGGAATCAACAGTCATTGGTCACTGATATAGCTCATTGTCAATGGTCTCAATTCCCCAATTATAAGACATAGACTAAAAATGAATGTAAAAACAGGATCCATGCTTCTGCTGTATCCAAGAAGTAAACCTGAACATCAAAAATACACATTACTTCAGGGTAGAGGATTGAAAAAGATATTCTAAGCAAATGGACCTAAGAAGCAAACTGGTTAAAATTATTTTAACATTTAACAAAATAGATTTCAAATCAAAATTAATCAAAAGAGAAAGGAAAAATACTACATTCTCATCAAAGAAAAATGCACCAAGAAGATATTTCACTTCTTAACATCTAATCATCAAACACAGTGGCACTCAATTTTGTAAAAGAAACACTACTACAGCTTAAATCACATAATGACCCTCACACACTGATAGTGGAAGACTTCAAAACCCCACTCTCACTGATGGACAGGTCATCCAGATAAAAACTAAACAGAGAAATAATGGCGCTTACAGACATTATAAACCAAAGGGACGTAACATATATTTACAAAATATTTCACCTAAACAAAAAAGAAGTTATCTTCATTTTTTTTTTTTTTGCCCCATGGAACTTTTTCCAAAATTGACCACATTTTTGGACAAAACACAAGTCTCAACAAATGCAAGAAAATTGAAATAACTACTTCCAACCTATCAGACCACCATGGATTAAAGCTATATATCAACAATAACAGAAAGCTTACAAACTCATGGAAACTGAACAACTCTTTACTGAATGAAAAATGTGTCAAGGCAGAAAGAAAGAAAAAAAATTATAGACTTTCTAGAATTCAATGAAAATGAATATATAAGATACCAAAACTTATGGGACACAATGAAAGCAGTTCTAAGAGGCAAGTTTATAGTATTAAGCATATATACCAACATTTTAAAAAACACTGAAGAGATCTCATACTAGCAACCTAAGAGAATCCTTGAAAACTCAGAACAAAAAGAAGCAATCACAGCCAAGTGGAGTAGATGACAAGAAAAAACCAAACTCGAGGGTAAAATCAATAAAATAGAAACAAAGAGAACAATGCAATGAATCAACAAAACAAAGAGTTTGTTATTTGAGAAAATCAACAAGATAGATAAACCCTTATCCAAACTAGCTAAATGGCAGAGAGAGAACCCCCAAATTAATAAAATCAGAAATGAAAAGGAAGTAACAACAGTTACCAAAGCAATCCAGAGAATCATAAGAACATACTATAAAAACTTGTTCTCCACTAAATTGGAAACTCTAAAAAAAATGCATAATTTTCTCAAGAGATACTACTTAACAAAGTTAAATCAAGATCAGATAATTGTAAACAGACCTATAACCCCTAGTGAAAAAAGAGCAGTCATTAAAAGTCTTTCAACCAAAAGAAAGCCCAGGACCAGATGTTTTTTGCACAATTCTATCAGATTTTCAAAAAAAAGTTAAGGCCAATACTCTTCAAATTATTGCACAAAATAGAAGCAGAAGGAACATTGCCCAATTCCTTTTATGAGGCCATAATTACCCTGATACCCAAACCACATAAAGACTCAATAAAGAAAGAAAATTAAAGACCCATATCCTTTACATGCAAAAATACTCAATAAAATACTTGCAAACTGATTCCAAGAACACACCAGAAAGTTCATCTACCATGATTAGGTAGGCTTTATTCCAGAGACACAAAGATGGTTTGATGAATGTAATCCACCATATAAACAAACTGAAAGAAAAAAAAACATATGATCACCTCATCAGATGCAGAAAATTTCTTTTACAAAAATCCAACACTTCTTCATGAAAAAGTCCTGGAGAGATTAGGGATGCAAGAAACATACTTAAATATAATAAAGGCAGTTTATGGCAAGTCCATAGCCAACATCAAATTAAATAGAGAGAAATGCAAGACAAATCCACTAAAAGCAGGAACAAGATGGAGTTGTCCAATCTTTCCCTATCTATTTAATATAGTACTTGAAGTCTTAGCTAGAACAATATGACTACTGAAGGAGATCAACAGTATACAACTTGATGTTGTGAATTTTGGAGAAAGTTCTAGGAAGAAGTCAAAGTGATATTATTTGTAGAATATATGAAAGTATGCATATATAACCCTAAGACCACCACAAGGAACTCCTACAGCTAATAAACACTTTCAGCAAAGTATCTATATACAAAATTAACTCACATAAATCAGGCCCCTCCTATATGGAAATGATAAACAGACTAAAAAAGAAAATAGCCACAAATAATATAAAATATCTTGGCATAACTCTAATCAAGCAAGTGAAAGTCTTGTATGGTCAAAAACTTAAAGCCTTTGAAGAAAGAAACTGAACAAGATACCAGAAGATGGAAAGAACTCCCATGCTCATAGATTGGTAGGATTAGCATAGTAAAAATGATCATCCTACCAAAAGCAATTTACAAATTCAATGTAAGCCTCATCAAAATCCCAACACAATTCTTTACAGACCTTGAAAGGACAATTGCCAACTTCATATAGAAAAAAAAATATTTGAGGTTTCATCATTCTCAATTTTAAGTTGCAGTACAGAGATATAGTAACAAAATCCTCATGGTGTTGATATTAAAACAGACATGTTGATCAATGTAGTTTATTGAAGACCCAAACATAAATCAACACACATATGGACCCCAGATTTTTTTTTAATAAAGAAGCAAGAAACACACACTTGGGAGAAGCATCTTCAACAAATTGTGCTTGTCAAACTGGATGTCTGCACAAAAAAAAAAAAAATGACAATAGATCTGTACTCATCACCTTTCACAAAACTCAAGTCCATATGGATCAAAGACCTCAACATCAAACCAGATACAATGAACCTGACAGAATAAAAAATGGGGAATAGCCTTGAACCCATTGGCACAGAGGACTTCCTGAACAGAATAGCACAAGCACTAAGATCAAAAATTAATAAATGAGAACTCATGAAACCAAGAAGCTTCTGCGTGGTAAAGGACACCATCAATGGGACAAAGTGGCAGCCTACAGAAGGAAAAAGTATTTTTAGCAACTCCATATCCAATAGAGGACTAATATAAATAACTCAAAAAACAAGATGTCAAAAAATAATCCAATTTAAAAGTGGGGTATAGATCTAAACAGAGAATTCTCCACGGAGAAAACTCAAATGGTTGAGAAAAACTTAGAGAAATGCTCATCATTCTTAGCCATCATGGAAATGCCAATCAAACCACTTGGGATTCCATCTTACACTTGTCAGAATAGCTAAAATTAATAACACAAGTGACAGCTCACACTGTGGAATAAGGAGAACACTCACTCATTCCTGTTGGGATTGCAAATGTGTACAACCACTATAGAAATAAATATGGTAAGAAATATGGGAATGGATATAACTCAAGATCCAGGTATACTCCTCTTGGTCATTGTGGTAGTTTGAATGTAATTGGCCACATAATCTCGTAGGGA